TAACCACAAAACTGAAGAATGCAGGGCATCACAGGCAAAATGCGTCAACTGTAAAGGGAATCACGGAGCTGATTCTCCAAAATGCCCTAAATACATAAATACAAAATCCATCTTGACCATGCAATATGTACATGGCATATCCCACAAGGAAGCGACCTCACACGTCAATAATAAAACCACACCAGAACAAAAGAAAGAGGTAACCCCTCCTAGCAAAGAGGTACACACAAAAGAACAAAAACACTTCACACCGACCTTCAAAAACACAAAAGAATTTGTAAATTTCTGCAGGGAACTAACAAAACTAGGAAGCATTAAAAACGAGGATGAAAGAAATATAGAGATAGGGAAGTGCATTCTAACCCATGTGTCGAACACATCGAAAATAATTGAAATTAGCCAAACCCCCAAAAATAAGGGAAAGCCTTCTCAAGCAGAGAAGACCCCAACAAACAGTCAAATGCCCCCACCCTCCGAAACTAAACAAACAAAGGACCGAAGCAGAAGCAGAAGCCAAACAAAGCAATCGGCAAAAAGGAACATAAATTTAGTAGTCACAGAAGACGAAGACAATTCACTAAGACACGGGGCTAATCCAATGATCACAGAAGCCGAAATACCTAATCAAAACAAACGCAGCTGTAGTGTAAGCAGTAGGGAAGACGCATTGTAAAACACACTAATACCTTAAACAAACAAATCACTATCTGTCACAATGGCGAAACCACTCACAATCTTTCAACTCAACGTGAATGGGCTGCGGTCTCGTTTGATTGAACTCAAACAATATGTCTATCAAAACAATCCAGACATACTATGCCTACAAGAGACACGGCTCACTCACAAAAACAAAGACATCAATCTAGATAATTACACAATGGCAAGGCAGGGCATCATCTACATGCTTTACGAAAGAAGGCCTGTCCACCCCTACATTCCAAAGGTAAAACGATGCACTAAATGCCAAAGAATAGGGCATCTAGAAAAATTTTGTAGGGGTACAGCCATCTGTGGCAAATGTGGTAATAACCACAAAACTGAAGAATGCAGGGCATCACAGGCAAAATGCATCAACTGTAAAGGGAATCACGGAGCTGATTCTCCAAAATGCCCTAAATACATAAATACAAAATCCATCTTGACCATGCAATATGTACATGGCATATCCCACAAGGAAGCGACCTCACACGTCAATAATAAAACCACACCAGAACAAAAGAAAGAGGTAACCCCTCCTAGCAAAGAGGTACACACAAAAGAACAAAAACACTTCACACCGACCTTCAAAAACACAAAAGAATTTGTAAATTTCTGCAGGGAACTAACAAAACTAGGAAGCATTAAAAACGAGGATGAAAGAAATATAGAGATAGGGAAGTGCATTCTAACCCATGTGTCGAACACATCGAAAATAATTGAAATTAGCCAAACCCCCAAAAATAAGGGAAAGCCTTCTCAAGCAGAGAAGACCCCAACAAACAGTCAAATGCCCCCACCCTCCGAAACTAAACAAACAAAGGACCGAAGCAGAAGCAGAAGCCAAACAAAGCAATCGGCAAAAAGGAACATAAATTTAGTAGTCACAGAAGACGAAGACAATTCACTAAGACACGGGGCTAATCCAATGATCACAGAAGCCGAAATACCTAATCAAAACAAACGCAGCTGTAGTGTAAGCAGTAGGGAAGACGCATTGTAAAACACACTAATACCTTAAACAAACAAATCACTATCTGTCACAATGGCGAAACCACTCACAATCTTTCAACTCAACGTGAATGGGCTGCGGTCTCGTTTGATTGAACTCAAACAATATGTCTATCAAAACAATCCAGACATACTATGCCTACAAGAGACACGGCTCACTCACAAAAACAAAGACATCAATCTAGATAATTACACAATGGCAAGGCACGATCGACCGGGTCAATCAAACGGAGGCGGCCTTGCCATTTACGTCAAAAACAACATCTCTTACAGCAGACTAACAGTAAAACAAACAAACAAATTAGAGCTAATGGCGATTAACATTATTATAGAAAACAATCAATCTCTAAACATAATAAACATTTACAACCCACCAGTTAACAAATTAAAAAGTAAAGATTATGATAGGATACTTAAACAAATTCAGGGTGACAATCTAATTATATGCGGGGACTTCAACTGCCATCACACAACATGGGGCTCACCAACAAGCGACACAGATGGGAAGGAATTATATGAGTATATAGAAGACAGCAGTCTTCTACTACTTAACGAAAACAACAGTGAACCAACTTTTGTAGGGAAAAATAGTAAACAAGGAACCCACATAGATTTGACATTAGTCTCAACAAAAATATTCCCGCATTGCAATTGGGAAATAGGCAACGAAACTTTAGGCAGTGACCATATAGCAATACACACTTCAATATCTTGCAAAACCAATACAGAAAACACCAAATGTCAGGCTAAATGGAAAATGGATAAGGCAAATTGGGATCTATACAAAAACTTGTGCAATTGTTGGGATTTTGAATCAATTAGACATGACAATATAGACACATTTTCAAACAATCTAACAGAGGCTATAATAAGTTCAGCAGAACAATCTATTCCCCGATCAAAGGAAACTAACAGGAAATCCCCTAAACCCTGGTGGTCAGATAATCTACAAACTCTAGTCAACACCCGAAAATCGGCGCTACGAAAATACAAGCGTAGACCGAATGAGGAAACTAGAACTGACTACCTCGAAGCAAAAAATGTCGCAGAAATAGAAATAAAAAAGGCCAAAGTAGAAAACTGGCAAAACTTCTGTACCTCCCTGAATGACCGATCAAATATAAAAACAGTATGGAACAAAATATCAGGAATCACCGGTAAAAAAGTAAGAGAAAACATTCCTTTATTAACCTATAAAAACGAAACAGCTTTAAACAACACGCACAAAGCAAACTTGTTAGGACAGACTTATGCTGATGGCTCTAGCAACAGCCAACATAATGAAACATTCAAAATCACCAAAAATACATTCTTAAAAAATCAACAGCCAATAATACACGAAGAAGCAGATAATGAATCAGATATAAATAAACCCATTAATATAGATGAGCTGAAAAAAGCATTGCGGGCTAAATCCGATAGTGCAGAAGGGCTAGACTGTGTGAAATACACAATGTTAAAAAATCTACCCGAGAAAGCACTATCATTAGTCTTAGATGTCTTTAATCTCTCATGGTCCAAAGGAAAAACACCACAAGAATGGAAAACTGCCTCAGTCGTTCCTTTACATAAACAGAACAAAAACAAAAATGAAACATCGTCATATCGTCCAGTAAGTCTTACATCCACCTTATGCAAAACACTAGAGACAATAATCACAAATAGGCTAAAATTTCACTGCGAAAGCAACAACATTTTCACAAAGCAACAAAGCGGCTATCGGTCCGAAAGATCAACAGCAGACCACATCATTAGATTACAACATGACATCTCCAGAGCATTTACACATAACAGATACCTTTGTGCCATTTTCATCGACTTAACAAAGGCCTTCGACCTAGTATGGGTGGATGGTCTTTTACACAAACTCCATAATGCAAAAATCAAAGGCCGAATGTACAAGTGGATAGAAGACTTCCTCAACGATAGGCATATCAGGGTACGCGTAGGAAATTGCTTAAGTGACAAATTTAAAATGGAAAACGGAACGCCACAGGGATCCGTCATCAGCCCAATACTCTTCAATATAATGATTAACGATCTTATTAGCTACGTAGGGAACGGCACTGAATCCGCACTCTTTGCTGATGACAGTTCATTCTGGAAAGCCTCAGACAACCTAGGCATAATCAAAAAATCTCTTCAATACACACTAAAACAAATTTCAAAATGGGCAAACGAATGGGGATTCAAAATTTCAGAAGGCAAAACAGTAGCAATACTGTTTCATCCAACAGACAATAACAGGATAATCGAGTTAAACCTCAATGGCTCAAGAATTGAATTCAAAACAGAGGCCAAATTTCTTGGCATGACATTCGACTCAAAACTATCTTGGAAACCTCATATTGATGGCTTAATAAACAGAACATCTAAAACACTCAACATGATGAAATATATCAGAGGGACGCAATGGGGCGCAGACAGAAATACACTCATGCTAATCTACAGATCACTAATCCGCTCGGTAATCGACTACGGATGTTTGGCTTATGCCAATGCAAGTGATGCACAACTAAACAAACTAAACATAATACAAAACAAAGCACTAAGACTGATAACAAGAGCCGCCATAGGAACCAAAACAGTTGCCCTATTACAAGAGATGGGAGAACTCCCGCTTGATCTCAGGCGGGAGGAACTGTCACTCAAGTATTGGGGAAAACTACAAATGTTAAAAGAGAGATGTCCAACATACAAGTGCCTCAATCAATTCAAACGTATAGGCTTCAGGAAAAACACCCGTCCTATGACATTCGGACAAATGTCCAACGATATTTTAAACAAACATAGCTTGAAAGGTACAATTATACAGACAAAAACATATCCTACCATCCCACCTTGGAAACTAAGCAATCCAATCACCAACACGCACCTAAGCAACATTACAAACAAACATGTAAATCCCACAGAAGCTAAAGCTCTAGCACTCCAACTGATAAACAGCAAATGGGCAGATCATCTCAAAATCTACACAGATGGATCCAAAAATACCACACAGGGATCTACAGGGTACGGCATACACATACCCAAAGCAAAGCTAAACATCAGGAAAAGGATACCAGAACACTGTTCTGTGTACACCGCTGAACTGATGGCCATTAAAACTGCACTAGAATGGCTAGCCACGCAAACGCACCAAAAAGCCGTAATCCTGACCGATTCCCTGAGTAGCGTGAAATCCATAGAATCAGATTCCTCAAAAAGTAGGCAGGACATAATCGGTCAAATTAGGGATATCAACCAAAAATTAGAAACAACGGAAGGGAGGTAATCCTTGCGTGGATCCCCTCCCACATCAATATTCTCGGCAACGAAAAAGCCGACACATTAGCCAAGGAGGGGACGTCACTCAAGGAATTAGACTATTTAGAATACAGCAGCCAGGAATTTACAAGCATAGCTAAAACAAAGATCAAAGAAGCATGGAAAACCCGTCTACAACAAGAAAACACCCATCGCTATCAAATAGATAGCAATCTTGTCGACAAGGTTTACATCAACCATCCTTCCATCAAAATATGCAAACTAATCACTAGGCTTAAAACAGTAAATGTAATCAGAGATTTCACCTATACACCAATAAAATGCCCGTGTGGACAAATTGCAACCACACCACACCTGCTAATCAACTGTAATCAACTATACGATGAACGTCAACCAATGATCAAAAAACTAACGGAGAGGGGAAAAACTCTCTGTCTTAAATCCCTACTCTCTCCATCACCTAATGAGAGATACTGGACATCTCAGCTTATCTGGGACTTTGTTGAAAAAATAGGAATGACAAAATACATATAACAAACAAAACCAACCAATATCAACACAGTAGAACGAAATCGCAAAAATGTCCCCTCGAGGGAAGCGCAAATCGTTCTACGACACAGATAATATTACATTAAAACTAATTAACCAAGCACATTCACACAAAATCACACAGCAGGATGATGAGTAAAAACGTCCTCTCGAAGGAAGCTCATTCATTCTACACCTCTAAAAATACTTGGCAGCAGGGTATTGGCGCAAAACTGTCCCCACCGAGGGAAACGCTACATACCCTGAAAACTCAATGGATTATATCATCTTTATTTTAATTCGACTAAACAAAACATTGATTGTAGATCTAAATAATCAACCATATATGCTTTATTGTACCTTATGAAATTTGAATAAAATTAGTTTATAGATCATATTTTTTATTACTTCATGTCGATTAAATAAATATTGATTGTATATTGATTAACATATATGCCATAACGGATTTTTACCACTTGTAATTAACAAATATTGTAACTGATTGTCTATTAATAAAGATTGACTATATAAACGGAACTCATTACCCCTAGTACTACCACTAGTAATTAACGAATACTGCAACTGATTATCGATTTATCATCTCTCAATCAAAAACTCTACGGCAAGCCGAGCGTCTTGGCAATCAAACAAACAGCCGAGACCCAGCTTACACAAATCAATCACGCCCAGGGTGTCAAACAGATGGTATAAATTAACTCACGAAAAAATGCAAATCATTCATCGTCATGGCCAGTAAATTGAACGTCGCACTAACAGGATCTTCGTATATGACGCATCTCCAGAGGTACGCCAGGAAAACCAACCAACCAATCCACCATCACCACAACATTCAGAACTACGGAGTAGGTGGGGCCACAGTTGCCAAATGCAGAAGTAGGGTAAGCCAAATAACCAGAGCCACAGATATAGCACTTGTCTATATCGGGGGCAACGACATTCGACCCCGCACTGACCCTGAAACACTCGCTGACCACATCATCGAGGTCATGCTTGCCATCCAGGGTAGAGTGGGGATGATACCTGTCATCTGGATAAATTCATACCCAAGGCTATTACCCAGATACTTCGCTGATCCCCTCAAGTATATTCGTATACAAGAGAGGTTAAATCAGCACATGCTCAGGAAACTGGCCGAACACCCCATGCTGCACTACGGGGGCACCTACTCCTACAAGACGAACAAATGGAAAAAGGCTACGGAAAAGATGCTCCAGACAGACGGAATCCACCTAAACGACACGGAACACCAAAATCTAATGGACATGATACGAATATTAATATATGAAACAGCCCAATATTACTATGGGATAGAAAAACCACCACAGTACATAGGAAAGTCATGGAAGATCGACAACTGCCTCAGTCTCTTCCATGACTCAATAAGTATCTTTTAAAACTCTTTTACTACTATTGTATTAAAAACCTAAATACCCCTAACATCATTCAATATTATTACCTTCCAGATTCATCTTACTCTACAGTAAATTACTACTATTATTATTCTTATCTAATTACTCTTACTTTCATTTTTGTTTTACTCTTATTATCTTCTTTACTATTATTATTATTTTTAGCCCCCTCCCCCCCACCACCCAGAAGCCTAACCAGACGAAACCGTCACACATATCACTGTAAGACCAGATACTATCTTTTTCCTTCTCTCTTTTCAGGAGCTGGATTCTTCCTTCTGAGAACCAACAACAAAGGAATGAACCATAGAAACAAAATACAAACAATACCACCATACCGGACAACATATCCAAATGGAAGGAAGAATGGACCAGGCCCTAAAACTCACCAACAAGCCCCAAGGAAGAGTTGCACCGCCCTGCCATTCGACCGGACAGAACGACCTGACCAACCAAGATAACAAAATAGATATATATATATGTTCGTCCACCTTCATGTATACAAATGTCTCTGTCTGTGTAAATGTTCGTCCATGTCCATGTCTGTCCTACCATATGTCTGTAACCGTCCCAGTTTGCACTTGTTACACCTGTTAAATCACGTCTCGTCTCTGTATATTCGTTGCACATATATATCTATTAAAAAAAAAAAAAAAAAAACCTAATTAATCCACACTAATCCACTAATCACGTTGTAAATACTATCACCATGCACATATAACACGTAATTGTCTGCGATATCACCTCGGTGGAAGCGGACGTTAAATAAAACTAACTCACACACAGTTTTCGCTACTCATTTGTCTGTTTAAGTTAAACGACGAACGATCATCATTCAACATGTCTGGACGAGGAAAGGGAGGAAAAGTAAAGGGAAAGAGTAAGACCCGATCATCCCGGGCTGGATTACAGTTCCCCGTCGGTCGTATCCATCGACTTCTCCGAAAGGGAAACTATGCCGAGAGAGTTGGAGCCGGAGCCCCAGTTTACTTGGCTGCAGTCCTTGAGTACCTAGCTGCCGAAGTTCTCGAGTTGGCTGGCAACGCCGCCCGTGACAACAAGAAATCCAGAATCATTCCCCGTCATCTCCAGTTGGCCATCCGAAACGACGAGGAATTGAACAAGCTGTTGTCCGGAGTAACTATCGCCCAAGGTGGTGTTCTACCCAACATCCAAGCTGTGCTCCTGCCCAAGAAATCCGAGAAGGCTACTTCAAAATAAAAAGCAGCTTTTTGTTGATAAAAAAAAAACGGCCCTTTTCAGGGCCACCTAAATATATCAGAGAGAAAACGAACATATTCTAATATTCGCAAAATTACGTACATGTAGATGTGCGCAGCCCCAAGCCTGAAACTCGACACAAAACATCAACTTACCTTACCCCCACCCCTTACCTTAATTATTACTATCACTACCCTTATTATCTGCAGCCGGCGTAATCCAATCCAATTCAATTCAATTCAACACGAAATAAAAGGAAAGGAAAAGAAAACAAAACAAATTACGAATCCAATCAAATGAAACCATAAGATTATATGAGATGCCACGCCACGCCATAACATAATGACATAGGCGCATTCATTCATTCATTCATTCATTCATTCATTCATTCATTCATTCATTCATTCATTCATTCATTCATACGTACGTACGCGCGTGCGTGCGTGCGGTCATTATTCGTTCGTTCGTTCGTTCGTTCGTTCGTTCGTTCGTTCATTCATTCATTCATTTATTTATTTATTCATTCATTCATTCATTCATTCATTCACCGAAAAAGAAGAAACGAATGAATGAAGGAGTGAGTGAATGAATGAAGGAGTGAATGAATGAATAAATGAATGAATGAATGAATGAATGAAAAAGTAGGGAAGAAAGATTGACATTACAGGACATATATGTGATGTGTGGTGGAACGCAGAAAATTGAAGCTGGCGTGAACGAGAAAACACAGTCTCTCTCACAGGTCCGCGCTTAACTCCTATAATAACCGAAATTCAGTGTAGGGTAATCATACTTGCTGTTTTCTTTGAACGAGCAACATCGAATCAACTCTTGCAAAATGTCTGGACGAGGAAAGGGAGGAAAAGGTTTGGGAAAAGGAGGAGCCAAACGTCACAGGAAAGTCCTTCGTGATAACATCCAGGGTATCACTAAACCAGCCATCAGACGTTTGGCCCGACGAGGTGGTGTAAAACGTATTTCTGGTTTGATCTACGAAGAAACCCGTGGTGTCCTTAAAGTATTTTTGGAAAACGTCATCCGAGATGCTGTCACATACACCGAGCATGCCAAGCGAAAGACCGTCACAGCCATGGATGTCGTCTACGCTTTGAAGAGACAAGGCCGAACTCTGTACGGTTTCGGAGGTTAGATCTGACAACGCTCACAAAGCATATCAAACGGCCCTTTTCAGGGCCACCTAAATTATTCAGAAAGAAAACCTTCATATTCTAATTAATTAGTAAAACCCAAACAAAACAAAAATTAAAAAAAAAAACCCGACCCCCTTCAGAAAATAGCACAAACAAGAGGTGCGGTAGTTTAGGGCGACCCATAAGACCCGTGCCGTACCCGATTTAATGCTTCAAGTAGTTCTTTACACACATAATACTCGCGCACAACCCGACACATTTCAGCTGACAGCCTCCATGTTCAAGGTGCCAATGTCCACTCCGGAGAACTATGTACTCTACTTCGGCGATATATATCTGCCCCCTATTCAACAATTGGTTGGTATACTGTTTTGTGGTGCGACCCGACTCCAATTCCCACCTGTTACAAGCATAAGGACTAATTTTAATACACAAGAACAGAATTTAGCGCTTTCGGCTAAAAGCGTCCATTTAGGACTTAAAATATCTGGAAACTCTTATAGAGTAGTATTCAGCATGCGTGCTCGCCCGACAGATGATGATGGGTTAGTTGTATTTTACGTCCGCTTCCACCGAGGTGATATCTCAGACAATGACGTGTTATGTGTACAAGGTGCATTAATTTACAATGTGATTAGTGAGAAATAATAGGATGATTAGGTTTTCATATATATGTACATAGGACAATAAACACGACAGGTCAGGGGATAGGCTTTATGTGTGAATTGATCACTTACTATGCGACAAATGGTTACATTTTTTCGATTAGAATATGGAAAGGCATTCTTTCGTGGAAATTTGGGGTGGCCCTGAAAAGGGCCGTTTTACAGTCGTGCAATAAAGCTCGGGGAAAGACATTTAGGCCTTTTTAGGTTTGGCGGCAGCTTTCTTCTTGGGGGCTGCCTTTTTGGCTGGCTTTGCGGTTTTAACCTTTTTAGGGGTTTTCACCTTTTTGGGTGACTTGGCCTTCTTTGGTTTTACTGTCTTCTTGGCTCCGGCGGCTTTAGCCTTTTTCGGTGTAGCGGCTTTCTTGGGTGCTGCTTTCTTTGCCTTGGGTTTCTTGGCGGTGGCCGTTTTCTTAGCAGGAGACTTTTTAGCGGCTTTCTTCACTTTGGGTTTTTCGGCCTTTACGTCACCAAGTTTGAAGGAACCGGCTGCTCCCGTGCCCTTGGCCTGCTTAATAACTCCGGACTTGACACCGTTTTTCAGGGCGGTTTTTACCCGGGAGTTAGCCATGTTCGAATCGGATCCGACCTTGTAGTTAGCCATGACGTATTTCAAGATAGCTTGTCGTGATGAACCACTCCTTTCCTTCAAACTGCCAATGGCAGCGCGGATCATGTCAACGTATTTCGGGTGTGTGGCGGCTGCCTTGGGCTTGGATGCCATCTTCTTTTTTGGTGATTTTGTCGCGGGTGCTTGAGCTGCTACATCTGCCATTTTCACTAGAATAAGGTCTGTGTTTGCGTAGGATGCAAAAACGTCGTACTTCTTCCGCTGTCAACTAGGGAATGAGCCGCGATGGTTCGTGAAAAAACATACCAGGCGGGCGCGGACTTCGTAGAGAGCACTTATTCGCCCCGGACGCAAATCACCACAACTATGTGTTTATTGCTTCGCATTTTCTCCCAAATTCAAACTTAGTTTTAGATGGGAGAAAAATTGGACTACGCCATTCGAAAGAGAAGAAATCGGGCTTTACACTCATACAAATATTGTGTACTCCCAGTGTATACTTAGTCTGAGAACCAGGCTTGAAAGGCGCACATTGAGTCTCTCAAATACAAACCCGTCCTTTTACACTCACTTTTACCCTCGAATTTTAGCTTTGATTTCGTGCAGGGGGCGAGAGCCGACTAGAAGAAACATCAGACTTGCAGTTCAGCCCATTTTCTTTCAAATTGATACGGCACGAAGGGCTGTGGCAGGATTCCCACGCGGACACTAAAAACACGTTCACTCAATGAACCGCCATTACGGACGGGCTTTATTGCTTCATGCCATCGACAAGTGAAATTCATTCATCCATCTGTTATTCTATTCTGCAGATGTATTCCCTGTGTGTGCGTGCGTAATTTCTTTCCATGATTTCATTTCATTTCATTTGATAGGGGGGAGGGGGGAGTGTAATGTAATGTAATGTAATGTTTTGCTTTGCTTTGCTTTGCTTTGCTTTGCTTTGCTTTGCTTTGCTTTTATTATAGAACATGGAAACGTTTCTTTCTGAACGAGTTAGGTGGCCCTGAAAAGGGCCGTTTAAATAACACAAAGCCAAGTAATTTAGGCTCGTTCTCCTCGGATTCTTCGGGCGAGCTGGATGTCCTTGGGCATAATGGTGACTCGCTTGGCGTGGATGGCGCACAAGTTGGTGTCTTCGAAAAGTCCAACCAGGTAAGCCTCGCTGGCTTCTTGCAGGGCCATGACGGCGGAGCTCTGGAACCGGAGATCGGTCTTGAAATCCTGGGCGATTTCACGGACTAATCGCTGGAAGGGGAGCTTTCGGATGAGAAGCTCGGTGCTCTTCTGGTATCGACGGATTTCTCGGAGAGCCACGGTACCTGGCCTGTATCGATGGGGTTTTTTCACACCGCCGGTGGCGGGGGCACTCTTTCTAGCGGCCTTGGTGGCGAGCTGTTTTCGTGGGGCTTTGCCTCCAGTCGATTTACGGGCAGTCTGCTTGGTTCGAGCCATCTTTACTCTAGTCTTCTCTTCTTCTTGTCGAGTCCGAGTAGAAATGAAACACCAAACACCTCTCCTTCTACTATAAATACACACACAAATTCACAAAGCTCGCAAAGCGCGGCACGCAACGCCATTGGTCGCCTCAGCCAGAATCCGGCCCTCCCATTGGTTCAAAATGAAACGCTTTCATTGGTTGAATTCCAACACTGTTTCCCAACTCCATTTCTCGATCCGATTTTAGAATGCATGTCCCAAACTGCATTTCTGGTTCTTGTCTACCCTTCTTCTTTTTCCCCTTTCCTCTCCTTTCTACTCTTTTTCTTTTCCCCCCGTTTCCTTTTATCGCTTGTTCGTTTCTTTTTTTTGTTTTTGTTTTGTGTTCGTTCGCTCGCTCGCTCGCTCATGCTTTTTCGGGAGCTTCCGTGTTTTCATAAGACAAGACTGGGCATCGAGACTTGCCTCAACTTAATTGCTAAGAAAACATGCTATGAAAACATGCACGAGGAGCTTGTGCCTATATAATCATATGAATTGATCTGTCGTCATTCACCCTTGTCACCTCACCTCACGCCCGTACCCCTTGTCTTACGCGTCTATCAGCCAGGGATAGACGAGTAGACCCAAGTCGTAATCAGTGCTATATTGAGAAGTGTCATTTTTCAGGTAAACTGTTTGTCATATTGTGCGAGATCGTTCTTTGTATGTTTATGTATTTGTTTTCTGGGTTTTTTTTTTGTCTATTTATATATTTGTTTGTTTTCTTTTTGTCTGTCTATTTATATATTTGATATATGTACTTTGATGTAATTTTTCTTTTCCAATTATCGCTTTAGGGTTAGGCTTAGGGTTGGGGTTGGATCGCATTGAACTGAATGGAACGGGGTGGGTGTGGCATTTGATTCGTATAGAACATGAAGGTTTTCTTTCTGAATGATTTCGGTGGCCCTGAAAAGGGCCGTTTTTGTTTCGGTTTCGGGTGGGAAACATTTATTTGCTGCTGGTATATTTGGTGACAGCCTTGGTACCTTCGCTGACGGCGTGCTTAGCCAATTCACCGGGCAACAAAAGTCTGACGGCAGTCTGGATCTCCCTGCTTGTGATGGTTGATCTTTTGTTGTAATGGGCCAGTCTTGAGGCTTCGGCAGCGATTCTTTCGAAGATGTCGTTGACGAAACTGTTCATGATGGACATCGCCTTGCTGCTCACACCGGTGTCGGGGTGGACTTGTTTCAAGACTTTGTAAATGTAGATGCTGTACGATTCCTTTCGTCTCCTCTTCCTTTTCTTGTCCCCGGAGCGTGCGGCTTTCGCCTTTCCGGCTTTCTTGGCGCCTTTCGATGAGACCTTTGGTGGCATGACTGCTGTAACAAGTTAGAACAGTGAATGTTGGCCCGAACTGGCCAAAAAGCCTTTTATACAGACCATGTGAGTCGGGAAATCGGATCGAGCGTGCTAGCGACGATCGCGCGGACCTCATCGTAAGCATGATATACAGCCCCCGACTCTGTTTGGCGGGCATAAAAGGAAAACTAACTAGTTTTCGCTACTCCCCTCGAGGGAAGCGCAAATCGTTCTACGACACAGATAATATTACATTAAAACTAATTAACCAAGCACATTCACACAAAATCACACAGCAGGATGATGAGTAAAAACGTCCTCTCGAAGGAAGCTCATTCATTCTACACCTCTAAAAATACTTGGCAGCAGGGTATTGGCGCAAAACTGTCCCCACCGAGGGAAACGCTACATACCCTGAAAACTCAATGGATTATATCATCTTTATTTTAATTCGACTAAACAAAACATTGATTGTAGATCTAAATAATCAACCATATATGCTTTATTGTACCTTATGAAATTTGAATAAAATTAGTTTATAGATCATATTTTTTATTACTTCATGTCGATTAAATAAATATTGATTGTATATTGATTAACATATATGCCATAACGGATTTTTACCACTTGTAATTAACAAATATTGTAACTGATTGTCTATTAATAAAGATTGACTATATAAACGGAACTCATTACCCCTAGTACTACCACTAGTAATTAACGAATACTGCAACTGATTATCGATTTATCATCTCTCAATCAAAAACTCTACGGCAAGCCGAGCGTCTTGGCAATCAAACAAACAGCCGAGACCCAGCTTACACAAATCAATCACGCCCAGGGTGTCAAACAGATGGTATAAATTAACTCACGAAAAAATGCAAATCATTCATCGTCATGGCCAGTAAATTGAACGTCGCACTAACAGGGTCTTCGTATATGACGCATCTCCAGAGGTACGCCAGGAAAACCAACCAACCAATCCACCATCACCACAACATTCAGAACTACGGAGTAGGTGGGGCCACAGTTGCCAAATGCAGAAGTAGGGTAAGCCAAATAACCAGAGCCACAGATATAGCACTTGTCTATATCGGGGGCAACGACATTCGACCCCGCACTGACCCTGAAACACTCGCTGACCACATCATCGAGGTCATGCTTGCCATCCAGGGTAGAGTGGGGATGATACCTGTCATCTGGATAAATTCATACCCAAGGCTATTACCCAGATACTTCGCTGATCCCCTCAAGTATATTCGTATACAAGAGAGGTTAAATCAGCACATGCTCAGGAAACTGGCCGAACACCCCATGCTGCACTACGGGGGCACCTACTCCTACAAGACGAACAAATGGAAAAAGGCTACGGAAAAGATGCTCCAGACAGACGGAATCCACCTAAACGACACGGAACACCAAAATCTAATGGACATGATACGAATATTAATATATGAAACAGCCCAATATTACTATGGGATAGAAAAACCACCACAGTACATAGGAAAGTCATGGAAGATCGACAACTGCCTCAGTCTCTTCCATGACTCAATAAGTATCTTTTAAAACTCTTTTACTACTATTGTATTAAAAACCTAAATACCCCTAACATCATTCAATATTATTACCTTCCAGATTCATCTTACTCTACAGTAAATTACTACTATTATTATTCTTATCTAATTACTCTTACTTTCATTTTTGTTTTACTCTTATTATCTTCTTTACTATTATTATTATTTTTAGCCCCCTCCCCCCCACCACCCAGAAGCCTAACCAGACGAAACCGTCACACATATCACTGTAAGACCAGATACTATCTTTTTCCTTCTCTCTTTTCAGGAGCTGGATTCTTCCTTCTGAGAACCAACAACAAAGGAATGAACCATAGAAACAAAATACAAACAATACCACCATACCGGACAACATATCCAAATGGAAGGAAGAATGGACCAGGCCCTAAAACTCACCAACAAGCCCCAAGGAAGAGTTGCACCGCCCTGCCATTCGACCGGACAGAACGACCTGACCAACCAAGATAACAAAATAGATATATATATATGTTCGTCCACCTTCATGTCTGTAAAATGTGTGTATACAAATGTCTCTGTCTGTGTAAATGTTCGTCCATGTCCATGTCTGTCCTACCATATGTCTGTAACCGTCCCAGTTTGCACTTGTTACACCTGTTAAATCACGTCTCGTCTCTGTATATTCGTTGCACATATATATCTATTAAAAAAAAAAAAAAAACCTAATTAATCCACACTAATCCACTAATCACGTTGTAAATACTATCACCATGCACATATAACACGTAATTGTCTGCGATATCACCTCGGTGGAAGCGGACGTTAAATAAAACTAACTCACACAAAATTTTCGCTACTCATTTGTCTGTTTAAGTTAAACGACGAACGATCATCATTCAACATGTCTGGACGAGGAAAGGGAGGAAAAGTAAAGGGAAAGAGTAAGACCCGATCATCCCGGGCTGGATTACAGTTCCCCGTCGGTCGTATCCATCGACTTCTCCGAAAGGGAAACTATGCCGAGAGAGTTGGAGCCGGAGCCCCAGTTTACTTGGCTGCAGTCCTTGAGTACCTAGCTGCCGAAGTTCTCGAGTTGGCTGGCAACGCCGCCCGTGACAACAAGAAATCCAGAATCATTCCCCGTCATCTCCAGTTGGCCATCCGAAACGACGAGGAATTGAACAAGCTGTTGTCCGGAGTAACTATCGCCCAAGGTGGTGTTCTACCCAACAT